TTACTTACAGCACCACCAAATAATTTTTTCTGACAAAATTTAAATAGAGAAATGAAAGGGCTTCACGCTAACGCTAACCAGTTGGACTCTTGAGACTTGTTTGGTTTGGAACGTAGAGAAGGGGAGAAGAGAGAAGATGCTATTTCCTCTTGAGTCGGTGATAAATGAAAATTATTTTTAATTACGGACTAATTAAAATTGCCTATTTTCCCATTCTGTAGTCACCAAGCAGCAACTTCTGTACTTATTATAAAATGTAGCCAAAGACTTTTTAAGTCTTTGTACTTGGTTTCTATCAGTTTCGCCATTGACTTCTACCGGATAAAGTCTTTCTTCTTCCTCCGATCAATTTTATAAGAAGGCTGCGATTAGAAAACACCCTTCTAATTCGTGAAAAGATCACCGGATTTCCCCAAGTATTATTGAATCCCAAAATGCTAATTCTCACCATCTTCTTCATCTCACTCCTCCATCTCCTCCACCCGACCACCGCCACCTTCCCCTACAATGCAACTGACATCATCCTTCTCGACTGTGGAGCACAGTCCAACACTATATCAAAATTGGACGGTCGCAACTGGGATACCGATATCAGCTCTAGATATTCCTCCTTCAACGATCAAAAGTCATCAATTCCTTCCATTGCCTCTCACCAAGACCCTTCTATTCCCACAGTTCCATTCCTCTCTGCTCGCATCATTAAATCTAAATTCACCTACAGCTTTCCTGTCTCCTCCGGCCCAAAATTCCTTCGTCTCTACTTCTTCCCGGAAAAATACGACAATTTTAACATGAGTCATGACCGCTTCCTTCTTCCCGTCACTGCCAATATCTACACCCTCTTGAAAAATTTCAGTCCGCATATGCATCTGACCGAGCATGCGGCCTACTTGATCAAAGAATTCATTTTACTGTGCGGAACAGAGAGATGCTTAATGTAACTTTCATCCCTTCTCCGAAGTCCTTCGCTTTCATTAACGGTATCGAAATCGTTTCCATGCCAAGCGGCCTCTACTTAAGCGGTAGGGAAATCCCACAAGTGACTCCAGTCGCTGGCCAATTCTTCTTTTTGGATAACACCACCACCTCACTCGAGACTCTTTATCGGCTGAATGTTGGCGGAAACCCCATTGAGAATGTGAATGATACAGGAATGTACCGAACCTGGAGTCCAGATGGAGATTATCTCGTCCGGTTAAAATGGTATATTCCAGTTTTTTTGGCCCAATGCCTGCGGTTTCGATTTTTGAAGGGAACACCAGAGTACACCGCAGCCAAGGAAGTTTACACCACTACACGTATGATGAGCCCAGATGCCTCGTTGAATTCGCAATACAACATGACCTGGAAGTTCTCCGTTGATGCGGGGTTTCACTACCTCGTCAGTCTTCATTTCTGTGAGCTTCTGAACGAAGTCAGAGGCCGGGATCAACATGTTTTCAGCATCTTCATCAACAATCAAACAGCGGAAACAAACATAGATGTGTTTCTTTTGAGCGGTGGCTATGGATATCCCATGTACAGAGACTATATTGTTATGGCTGACAACAGTACCCAAGGAAAGGACCTTTGGCTAGCGCTGCACCCTCAAAACAAAAAATATGTTGATGCCTTATTGAACGGTTTAGAGATTTTCAAATTGAATCAATCTGATGGTAACCTAGCTGGACCCAATCCAGACTCGCACCAAAAGTTACTTGAAGGCCCAGAGAGTAGGTTAACATCAATAATTTTGCCAGTCATTGGAGCTATTCTCGGTGGTTTTGCTCTGGTTTCTCTCCTCGTGAGCTTTTTCATTTTTCAAAGACAAAGAAAACTGAAACACTCGCTCTCTTTCACATCAAAGTTCCTTACCACAAAAACCTCCTCCTCGTTACTGTCTGATATCTATTGTCACTTCTCAATCGCCGAGATCAAAGCAGCCACTCAAGATTTCGACGATGCGCTTCTAATCGGAAGTGGAGGATTTGGAAACGTTTACAGAGGGATTATGAAAGGTGGGACCACCATTGCTGCAATCAAACGGTTAAACCCTTCATCAAGGCGAGGGGCCCACGAGTTCCGCACCGAAATCGCCTTGCTTTCAAAGGTTCGACACATGAATCTTGTTTCTCTGATTGGGTACTGTGATGATCAGAGTGAGATGATCAGAGTGAGATGATCCTAGTGTACGATTACATGGCACGTGGCACACTCCGTGATCGTCTCGGCAAAACCAAGAATCTGCCATTATCATGGAAACGGAGACTAGAGATCTGCATTGGGGCGGCGCGTGGGTTGCACTATCTCCATAAAGAGGCAAAGGAGGTTATCATCCACCGCGATGTGAAATCATCGAATATATTATTGGACGAAAATTACGTGGCAAAGGTATCAGATTTTGGTTTGTCGAAATTGGGTCCTACAAGCACATCCGAGACCCACGTCAGCAC